TGATTGACAGGTACCTGGTTGACATTTTAATTTGATTGACAGGTACCTGGTTGACATTTTAATTTGATTGACAGGTACCTGGTTGAACAGAAGGAAGTGGAGCTCAACTTGAGAGACAAGTGGGACAGCACGCCGCTGTAAGTCAAACAAATCAAAGTACTGAAAGTACTGAAAGATAGATCTGAATAGTCAGAGATAGGCTGATAAAGATACTACTTATGATAATGTCCTATAAAGAAGGTGATGTATGGCTGTATTCCAGAATTAACATGCAGATAAAGAAACATGTGTTCCTCAATTCATTTCTTCTTTTACTCTTTTACTTTTACTCTATCTGAAATGGCATATTATATATTTCTTTTAGTTTTATGAATATATAAATGAATTGGTTATAAACTCAAATAAGTAGATTTGAATGACTTTCACGTCAAAAGAAATAAACCCAAGAAAGTGTTCACACAATTTAAATACATGTACATGTATTGACCTCATATCAAGTTGATTCTGAAAAAAAGGAAAGTCATTCATGAATACCTTTCATGTATGTGTTTGTTTAAAAAGAAATCTAAGAGACCTTTAACTGAAATATGTGTACATGTTTTGTTTGTTTTAGGTACTACGCTTGTTTGTGTGGGCACAAAGATGTTGTTCAGTACCTGCTAGAAAATGGTAGGTTCTTAGAAAATGGTAGGTTTAACTATTAGAAAATGGTAGATTATCAGAAAATGGTAGGTTATTAGAAAATGGTAGGTTTAACTATTAGAAAATGGTAGGTTATTAGAAAATGGTAGGTTTAACTATTGAAAATGGTAGGTTATTAGATAATGGTAGGTTTATCTATTAGAAAATGGTAGGTTTGTTGGAAAATGATAGATTTTCAGAAAAATGGTAGGTTGCCAGCTCTGTATTGTAGGAAGGTTTAAAATATTGCTAGGAAACAGGAGTGCCTTCATGGAAACATGTACAATTTACCATCAATAAAATAGTATTATGATAGATAGCTAGTGACCATGCATACATATTCATCATGTTTATACTGTGGATATCAGTCATAGAAAATTTCACATTGTGCTTTTTTTTTTCTTTCGATAACCTAATGATAAATATAGAAACAGCCATGGTTTTATGTTGAGATATGATTTTTTCCAAATAGGTGTGTTTTCTATCCCCATGCGAAGGGAAAAGAAGTTTAATGATGTTTTTTTTCTTGTAGGAGCGCGGTGTGAAGCTAACACATTTGACGGTGAACGCTGTTTGTACGGAGCTTTAAACAATGAAATCCGGAATCTTCTCAGGTCCTTCAACATGGTGTCCTCCAAAACACTCCGCCGAGATCTGTATGAGGAATTTCTACGCAGGTCAATCTAATTTTACAAATCTTAATATTACTTTGATAGTTTAAGAAATTATGATAACTAAGCTGATTTTCACTGTTTGTAAAGACATTTGTGCTTAAAGTTAATGGAGAAAGGTATCATGAGATCTTTAATGAATTCTATAGGCATTGGAACCCCCCCTAACCCCAACCCCCCCACTTTTTTTGCAAAGGTAGACATAATAGAATATAGAATAGAATACTTATTCAACCACTTTGGCCCACATTATACACTTATGTAATGACTACGAGGTAAACAGTCAAAATGTTGTCCCGAGGTAGTGGGAGAGACCTGGGAAACTGTTGCCCTCGGCCTTCGGCCTCGGGCAACAATTTCCCAGGTCTCCCCCACTACCTCGGGACAACAGTTTGACTGTTTTACCAAGTAGTCATTAAATAAGTGTTTTATTACCTAACCTACTATATAATTATAATTAAATTGGAATAAAAACACACAAACAATCAATAAAAAGTTTTCACTACTGTTTATTCACATACCTGTCTATAAATTAGCTGAACACATAATATAAAGATTGAATTAATATTTTTAATTTAAAGTTATACTTAATAAATTGATTGTTTGTATGTTTTATTTAAATCTGATTAATTATAGAGCAGGTAAATAGTGATGCCGTGATCATCAAAACGCTTGAATATCACGATGACGCTTTAAAAAGTCAACAGTTCATTCTGTGGCCCGGTCAACAGTTCACTGTTTCATGATCATACAAAAACATAAAGTAAACCGTGAAACAGTTCAAAATGCCTAATTATGATTTATATAGTAGGTTAGGTAATAATGGAGCATACAGAACAGTGTCCAAAATCATCACAGTTATACATGTACAAAATAGAACAAAACAAACACCAAATACTAGCTATAAAGTACATGTAATAATATCTAAGTTTATTTACAGACTTTAAGAAATACTAGTTATAAAATAATAATAATTAAGTTTATTTACAGACTTTTAGAAATGGGAATGCACGAGGATGTGACATTTCATGTCTACGGAGAAAAAATCCCAGCCCATCGATGTATCCTTAGCGCTCGATGTCCGTATTTCGCAGAGTCATTCCGAACTCGCTGGAAGAACAGAACAGATATCATAATCAAACACAAACTGGTATCAGATATCAATAAAAAAAAAAAAATGTTAACAGATATCAATATCACAAACAAGTAACAAATCAGATATCAATATCAAACACCAACTGGTATCAGATATCATTAAAAAAATATAAACTGTTTACAGATTTCAATGTCACAAACTACTATAAGTGTAGTAACAAATTAGATATCAATATAAAAAAATTTTTTAACAGATATCAATATATCACAAGCTAGTAACAAATCAGATATCAATATCAAACATAATTTAACTGGTAACAGATATCAACATCTAACATAAACTGGTAACAAATCAGATATCAAAAAAAAACTTAACAGATATCAATATTAAGTCAGATATTACCTTTATGTTGTTTAATTAATCTGAGTTTTCTGTTTTAGGTGGTACCATGGGCCTTCAGGTCTCTCCTGCAGTACATCTACACAGGTAAATACAACACTTATTACATATGTTTGGAATGGTTGCCCTAAGTTTTTATTGATTTAAAACAAAAGCCTCTCAGTCCCTCCCACTCTAGCCTAGTCATGTGACCTAATTTTTCCATAGAAATCTCCTTCTCATCATATTAGCATTGTGGTTATTTTTTTTTCTAATTTAATCATTTTAATGAGGTCTGAGGGTTGTATATACATTGAGCCTCATTTATCCGGACGCTTTGGTTCTCAGTCAAATTGTCCGGATATGTGAAGCATCCGGATATCTGAATCACCAGTTAAACAAGACAAAATAACATTTAAAAATTTTGTTCCGATGAAAAATCGTCTGTATACTGAAGCATCCGGATATCTGGCGTCCGGATATCTGAAGGTCCACTGTATTCTAAAAATGAATTGCATAAACTTAAAAATATGTAAATTCATGTTGCATTATAAATTTGACCACTGGCCTTGGATACTTAGACTGATTGATTGACTGATTGATTATCCTCAGGGCGGTTGGAAACCCACGTAGACAGTGTGGAGGACTGTAAGAGACTGGCTCGTCAGTGTCAGCTGCCGGACCTCATCAAGGAAATAGAGGAGGCCTACAAAAAACAGAGCTCTTATGGTGAGGTCCTAAGTCTACTGTTTGAGAAATAACCTTCTGTAGCAACCCTAGTGATGTATAGATGATACTACAGGTAATTACTTTCCTTTATAGACTATTTACACTTGACATCTGTATCTTAACAGAAATGCAGAAACCAGGAGTAAACATCACCAATATCCTGATTGAGAGGTCAGAAGATTCACTTGACCTTCAGTTTGACCTTGGGCGACTTGCCGACCTTGCTCTACCTCGGGAGCTGTCTACATTTGTAAGAATTAATTGACATACCAGTTTATTGGAATGAAAGATAGGAAGAAATTGTGAACTTCTTACAGGAATTAATTTTTGTATATGGATATCAAATCAATTTAATTTTATAAGTTATAGAGTGGACATATGCCAGTGTGATCCTTCCATTCATTCTAAATACACTCATGTAACTAAAGCTGGATCTTTAGTACGTTTAATTCCTTATTTTTTCGTAGGTTCAAGGGGAGCTCCCATTTGAACCAGAATACGCCTCCTTTTACCCAGACATCTGTTTCTGTGTTGAGGGACACAAATTTCTCTGTCACAAGGTACGAAGATTATTTCTTCTTTAATGTCACACATTACAACTTTTACTTATATATGTACATGTATTTTATTTTCAGTTATATATCTAAAAAAAACAAAAAAGAGAGAGAGAGAAATTATATTTTAACTTGAAGCCATTATAAATTTTTACCATTTTCTTAAAAACTTAGTAACTGGTACAGACATTATCAAATATTCATGATAGAAATAAAGATAATAATTATTTAATTTGATTCCTAATAAAAAAATGTTCATACAAATATATGAAATTGTCACAAAATTACAAATGTATTAGCAGTTGAATGTACATCAAACATGATAAAATCTGAGATTATCTCCCTTTATGTAGATGTTTATCTGTAGTAGAAGTAACTATTAACTTTATTAAGGCCCTTATTACTGTATCTCCCATTTGTAATTTTTTTTTCTTTGGTAAAAGTAACAATTCTAAGACTCTGATTATCTCCCTTTTGTAGGTGTTTTTCTGCAGTAGAAGTGACTACTTTAAGGCCCTGATTATCTCCCTTTTGTAGGTGTTTTTCTGCGGTAGAAGTGACTACTTTAAGGCCCTGATTATCTCCCTTTTGTAGGTGTTTTTCTGCGGTAGAAGTGACAACTTTAAGGCACTGATTATCTCCCATTTGTAGGTGTTTTTCTGCGGTAGAAGTGACTACTTTAAGGCCCTGATTATCTCCCTTTTGTAGGTGTTTTTCTGCGGTAGAAGTGACTACTTTAAGGCGCTGCTGATCGATCATTTTGGGGAGAGCGAGGTTTCTGACAGCAATGTACCCCAGATGACTCTTAACGACATTTCCTGTGACATATTTACCCAGATAATGTACTACATTTATCAGGACTCGTGTGAGGTAAATATTTACCCCGATTTTGTATTCCTTTGTTCAGTTACTGTGGTTTCATCTATATTCGTTGAGCACCAATTTTCGAGGATTTTGTTGTTGAGCAGATTCACAAATTAAAATGTTCATTGAATTAAGAAAAATGATATGCATTTGTATAGGCAATGATTTTGTCCAGGAAATTATGTATCCTCGAAAACGTCTGTTTATTACAATCAACGAAAATTGATGCCCACGAAAATTGATGAAACCACAGTAAATCATTCAATCCTGGATGCATTATAATTTAATTAAGGTCTTCCGTTTCAGACGGAAGACCTTATAGCGATTCTACTGTTTTTTCTTTTTATTAAGGTCTTCCGTCTTCAGCGGAAGACCTTCTTGTTATTCTTAGGTTTCTTTTCCACTATTTAAGGTCTTCCGTTTCAGACGGAAGACCTTATAGAGATTCTACTGTTTTTTCTTTTTATTATTATTATTATTATTATTATTATTTTTTTGCCTTTTTGTTTTGACGATTTCTCAGAGATGACTGGACGGATTCTCATGAAATTTTGAGGGATGATGGAGAGTAAAAATATCTTTCAGATGCAGTTTTCAGTTTTTCAAAAGTCACTTCCGGTCGTCAGATATGTCCAATTTCCGCTTTTTTCAAAAAAGTTTTGTCCGAGTCATATCTCAGAAACGGTAAGAGGTTAAGACACCAAACTTATATGATTAGTAGATCTTGATAAGTAGGCAAAACCAATCGGGGAAAGGTTGTCTGCCGTCACTTCCGGTCGTCACAGGAAGTGATCAAAGAAATCGAAAATTTCAACTTTTCTTTTTTGAAACTTTTTTTGCATTACATTATAGCATCTTGTTTGTAGTTTCGAAATATATCAGTCCCACCGGAAACAAAAACGACAACTTCCGGTTATAAGAGAAAAACTGCATATTTTCAGTATTTTTCTCTCCCATAAATATTTTTTATACGTAATGTATTTGAAATGATTTTTGGATATGTTATTCAGACTGCAGATGTCTACAGTAATGTCAAATATCTTTGTAAAATTCACTTCCGGTCGCGTGATTTTCTGTCCTCAAAATGAGAAGTTATCATAGCTAGATCTCGTAAACGATAAGAGATTAAGGCACCACACTTATATAAGTGGTAGATCTTGATAAGTAGGCAAGTTCAGTTGGGATACCATTGTCCGCCGTCATTTTCGGTCGTCACAGGAAGTGATCCAAAAGTCAAAATTTTTAACTTTTCTTGCGTGAAACATTTTTTGCATCACATTATAAAATCTTATTTGTATTTTTGAAATATATCAGTCCCACCGGAAACTTAAACGACAACTTCCGGTTATAAGAGAAAAACTACATAATTTGTGTATTTTTCTTTCCCATAAATATTTTTTATACATAAAGTATTTGTCGTGATTTTTAGATATGTTATATAGACTGCTTATGTCTACAGTAACCTCAAATATCTTTGTAAAATTCATTTCCGGTCGCGTGATTTTCTGTCCTCAAAATGAGAAGTTATCACAAAGAGATCTCGGAAACGGTAAGAGATGGAGACGCCAAACTTGAATGAGTAATAGATCTTGATAAGTAAGGAAACTCATAAGGGTTAAGATCGTTCGCCGTCATTTCCGGTCGTCACAGGAAGTGATAAAAGAAATCAGAAATTTCAGCTTTTCTTTTTGGAATACTTCTCGGCATCACATTATTGCATCTTATTGGTTGTACTGATATATGTCCGTCCCACCAGAAACAAAAACGGCAACTTCCGGTTATGAGAGAAAAACTGCATAAATTGAGTATCATACTAATCCCATAAATATCTTTTATAGAAAGAGTATTTGAAATGATTTTAGAACATGTAATTCAGACTGCAAATGTCTAGAGTAACTAGAAATATCTGTTAAAAATTGATTTCCGGTCTCATGATTTCCTATTCTCCAACTGAGTAGTTAACATAGCCAGATCTTGGTTATGGTAACACATCAAGAAACTTAACTTATATGAATAATAAACCTTGAAGAGTGAACAGATATACGGATAAATGTCTCCGCCGTCACTTCCGGTCGTTACAGGATGTGATTTGAAAAATCGAAAATTCCAACTTTTTTCTTTCCAATTTTTTTTCCATTACTTTATTGCATCTATTTAGTAGTTTTGAAATATGTTAGCTCCACCAAAAATAAATTATAAAAATAAAAACAACGAAAACTTTCAATTATAAGAAATAAAACAACACCAAAGGTCAAAAAGTCAAGGTCATTGGAAAAGTATTTAAATTGCTTATATATGCCACATAACCTTGACCTTTGAGTTTGATGTTTGACCTTTGACCTTGACCCTTACCCAAGAGTTTTTTTTTATATTTAGCTTGATACAGCTTCAAGTATTAAAGTCGAGTTTAAAAGGTTTTTGAATGACCTTGACCTTTGACCCCATTGACCCAAAGGTCACAATCAAGCTTGAGTCCATGGGAATGTTTACATCTCTCACTTTAACAAATGCTTATATACCCCCCCTTTTTTTTCTTTTTTTTTTTTTGTAAATCAATAGGAACCTAGAAAAATTTTCTACAGTTCAAACGACGCCACAGATCGACATGAAATTTAAGGATTGCAGTAGAAGACACATCAAAAGAAAGTGTCCTGAGTGTTTAACAGTGAGTCTCTGAAGTATATAATGAAATTCTAATGAGTATCGGCAACAACTATATTTTTCTGTTCTGAAATTTAGGTGCTGATGAGCATGAAAATTAATTAAAGCTTGCATTGGGTATTTCTTCACTTTTTGTCAATAATATTCGATTCTCCTGCTCAAATACAAAATTTTAATACCAAGTATTCTTGATCTCCTTTGTATGTAGAGTTTATTTCAATTTTATTTACATTGAATATTAATTGAATGAATCTAGGAAAAAGCAATTTTTCCCTACAAAATCAATTTCTACGCAATTTAGATAGCTTAGATAAATTGGAGTTACCTCGCTTTGAACGGCATGGTGTAGAGAAAAAAATGTCCATGACTCACAACTGCATGAGATGTTTTGACCTATGACCTTGAAGAGTAGGTCAAGGTCATTGGAAAACTAGAGAAATTGTCGATTTAAGCTTAAAATCCAAATGACCTTGACCTTTGACCTTGACCTTTGACTCCTTACTCAAAAAGTAATAAAGAAATATTCATTACTTTTATCTAGATTCAGCTTCAAGTGTTAATCTCAAGTTTATCTCTCTCTCTCTTTTTTGGATGACCCCCTATTGATCCAAAGGTCACAATCAAGTTTAATGTCGTTGAGGTATTTGCAACCCTTACTCTAACAAATGCTTATATCCCCCCTCCTTTCTTAAAAAAAAAATCAACAGCAGTATAGAGAAAATGTCTACAAGTCAAATGACACAATAAATCGACATAAGATTCGGAGTAAAAGCAAGAAAAGACCTTAAAGAAAGTGTCCTGAGAGTTTTAAGGTGAGTCTCTTAAAATATATTGAAATTCTAGGGAAAATCGGCAAAATCTGCATTTTTTTTTCTGTCTGAAATTTTGTATTGCTAAGCATAAAAATTAATTAAAGCCCGTATTGGCTATTTTTGCAATTTTTGTTAATGTCATTCGATTCTCCTGCTCTATTACGACATTTTAATACTAAGTACTCTTGCTTTCTTTAGTGTATGGAATTTATTTCAATTTTATTCGGATTAAATATTAATAGAATGAATCTTGATTTCATTTTAAATTTGATTTTTTTTTCTAGAATAACACAATCCCAAGAAATAGCGACTTTCAGCATAGTAAAAAGAAATACACGTTTCTTCCCTGTGTTTCCCATCTAGAATTACATGTTTGGAATTTTATTTATGCTACTTACATTGAATTTCATGCCTATTTCGGTCAGGAATGTTAAAACCAGAACCCGATTCTCTGTTTTCCTTTTCCATAATTACAAACTGCCTTGCATCACTCGCTCATGTTTCTCACATGCTCTTAAATAATTTATCGCCATCCATTTCAAACATAAAACAACTCAAATCGGATATTTTCAAACATCTCTTTAATACATGTATAATGCATAATTTATGATGCAGGTACACATGGGACATTTCACAACGTTTTCACTTACGCTTCCGTCTTGATGCGCAGATCAAATGCATGTTATTCATGATATTATTAGGTATATCGTAATTTTAATCAGACCCTACCCCTTACATCTTAACTCGAAAACTATCTCATTCAAGCTCATATATACACCTAGGAGCGTGTTACAATGTTTTGAACGTGATCTCTTTGCGTGATCAATGAAATCATGGTTGTCCCCGAGTCGACTCGTATAATCCAGGAAGTCTGTTTAGAGTATATTTATACCAACTGCGCACCAACAAAAAAATACTATAGTTAACTATAGTTAACTATAGTTTACTATAGTTAACTATAGTGATAACTTTGACACTTTGAAAACTTTGATTTACTATAGTGATAACTCTGACACTTTGAAAAACTATGACGAAAACTTTGACACTTTGAAAAACTTTGGTGAAAACTTTGACACTTTGAAAAACTTTGGCGAAAACTTTGACACTTTGAAAAACTTTGGCGAAAACTTTGACACTTTGAAAAACTTTGGCGAAAACTTTGACACTTTGAAAAACTTTGGCGAAAACTTTGATACTTTGAAAAACTTTGGCGAAAACTTTGACACTTTGAAAAACTTTGGCGAAAACTTTGACACTTTGAAAAACTTTGACGAAAACTTTGTCACTATGAAAAACTTTGGTGAAAACTTTGACACTTTGAAAAACTTTGGCGAAAACTTTGACATTTTGAAAAACTTTGGCGAAAACTTTGACACTTTAAAAAACTTTATCGAAAACTTTGATACTTTGAAAAACTTTATCGAAAACTTTGATACTTTGAAAAACTTTATCGAAAACTTTGATACTTAAAAAAACTTTATCGAAACTTGGATACTTCGAAAAACTTTATCGAAAACTTAAATACTTCGAAAAACTTCATCGAAAACTTGAATG